GACGAGTTCGTTGATTTCTGGGTCATATTCATCATACCAGTCCTGGTGTATTCTTTCGATCTGATCGAGGGTCTCTCTGCAGGTTTTAGTCATGACAGTGTCGAGAATGTCCTAATTGGCAATGGTATTTGTGTTGTTTGTTGTCGGGTTGTTTATCAGCCCAGTGTTCGAGCTGTGTTTCAAAGCACCATGGATCCTCCAGACGATTCGTGTTAAAGCCTTTATTGGAGGAGTGTTGCCTTTGCCGTTTTGGGGCGACGTGAAGGGAGACTTTGGCTCTGACGATCCGATGATCAGTGTCACAGTGGTCTGAGCCACGCATGGCTCGGGTGATGAAGAATTCTTGGCGACCTTTCCTCTGACAATGATGTAGTCAATGAGATGCCAGTGTTTGGATAGTGGGTGTTGCCAATGAATCCTTGAACTTGTCGACCTGCCTAAACAAGGTATTGGTGATAGTGAGGTTGTGTGCAGCACACTTGCTGAGGAGGACTAGGCCGTTGGGATTACATTTGCCTAGTCCATTTCTCCCTATGATTCCATGCCATATGTCAGCATCTCTGCGAACTCTGGCATTGAAGTCACCCTGGAGCACAACTCATTCTCTGGGGATGGAGATTAGTACCGTCAAGGTCGGCGTAAAAAGGCCTCCTTGATGTCATCCTCTGCATCCAGTATTAGGCGTATGCACTGATGAAGAAGGCGTGACGTGAGTGGTTCAGTGGGACTCGGAGCGTCATGAAGCACTCGTTGATTCCAACATGCATTTCAGTTAGCATATGTAGGATGCATTGGCGGATGGCAACGTTAACTCTATAGATGCGGTTTCTCTCCGCAGATGGCATACCCTTCCAGAAGAAGATATAGCCAGATCTCCCGTTCTGTGAGTCAACCCTCGTCTGGGAGCCGGAACTTACTAATGGCTGCTGTATCGATGTTATACTGCCAGCTCTTTGCCACAGGGGCGGTTGTTCTTTCAGGATGCTCATTTGTTCCAGTATCTAGAAGGGTCCTGACATTCTAACCATAAGAGGTTGCTTTTTTTTATCTGTGATTTTGATTGTGCTTTCGATTGCATAAGGATGACCTTACTGAGTGTGGTTGCCCAGTCAGGTTGGTACTTTAGGCAGGCTATGTTTAGGGCATGTTTTCTAGCCCCCTCCCCATGTGGGGGAAGCAGAGGTCTCACTGAAGGGGCTGCTCAGTCGCACAGACTGGACCGGATTGCACTGTTGCGTAGATACCAGTGCATAAACGACCATCTTATCTATGCCGCCCATGTGCAGAGTTGTGACTAGAGACTCCCGGCAGCCATCTCCTGCCTGACCCCGTCGCCATAGGACTTTTAGGGACATTGGGGTTTTGATGATGGCGAGAAGTATGATGAGCTGGATGATGGTTGCGTGTGAGTTGATTTATGTGGTGAGGCAGGAGCGCAGGCTGTACCACACATCATGGCTCTCCCTTTTCCTGATCCAGTGGTGCAAGTGATGCAACGACTGGGGACAGGGAGAGTTGCAATGGACTGCCGATAGCTCAGTTTGTTGGGTTTCGCTTTAGTAGCCTGTCCATCTTGCATTGCCTTCATCCGCCGGTGTAGTCGTTGGGTTCCCAGGATGATCACCTCCAGCGCGGTTGGGGTCTTACTGAAGTTCTGTGTGCATGTCTGCCTGTTGCGGGGCTCCACCGCAGATTTTTCGTTTGGGGTTTATTCCCGTATTCTTGTCCCCCCAGGTTAATTTGCAAGACAGTGGGTCAGTGGTTGGTAGGCGCCAAGACGTGTCCACATGCCAGTGGGCCTATGCGCCGCCCCTCTGAGGCCCACTGCTCCTCCGAGATTCCCTGCCGGTCTAGCCTGGGCCAACGAGGCACAAGTTAACGTGTGTTGCCACGAGGAGGCACAGCAGAAGTCTTGACGATGGAGAGGCCCCCTACATCACCAACACTACAATCACTGTCTCAGCCACCCCCAACATCACCAACACTACAAACACTGTCTCAGCCACCCCAACATCACCAACACCAAACACTGTCTCAGCCACCCCAACATCACCAACACTACAAACACTGTCTCAGCCACCCCAACATCACCAACAAATCACTGTCTCAGCCACTCCCAACATCACCAACACTACAAACACTGTCTCAGCCACCCCAACATCACCAACACTACAATCACTGTCTCAGCCACCCCCAACATCACCAACACTACAAACACTGTCTCAGCCACCCCCAACATCACCAACACTACAAACACTGTCTCCACACCTCCCAACATCACCAACACTACAATCACTGTCTCAGCCACCCCAACATCACCAACACTACAAACACTGTCTCAGCCACCCCCAACATCACCAACACTACAAACACTGTCTCAGCGCACTCCAACATCACCAATAATACTACACATCGTCTCAGCCACCCCAACATCACCAACACTACAAACACTGTCTCAGCCACCCCCAACATCACCAACACTACAAACACTGTCTCAGCCACCCCCAACATCACCAACACTACAAACAATGTCTCAGCCACCCTCTACACCACAACCACAGAAACACATATATGCAAAAGAGATTAATGTATCCACCTTTGTTTACGTCACCTCCAACACCACCACCAATACCTTGAGTACTATCTCCACTACTCCACTATCTCCACCATCACCACTACCTCGACCACTACTCACATCACTATCATTGTCTCCATCACCACTACCTTCACCACTAACAATGTCACTGTCGCGACCTCCACCACCACTACCTTCACCACTACCTCTATCTCCACCCCCACACCACTGCCACTGCCCCCAACACCACCCCCATGCCACTGCCCCCATCACCACCCCCACGCCATTGTCACTATCACTGCTCTCTCCACTGCCCCATCACCAACCCCAAGCCACTGCTGCCACAGCCCCATCACCACGCCACTGCCATTACCCCCATCACCACCCCACGCCACTGCCCACACCACGCCGCTGCCATTGCCCCATCACCACCCCCACGCTACTGCCCACATCACCATCCCCACGCCACTGCCCCACCTCACCACTGCCTCCACCCGCCACGCCACTGCCCCCCACCACCCACCACTACCTCCACCCGCCACGCCACTGCCCCATCACCACCCACACCACTGCCAGCCTCCACCCCCACCCACTGCCCCATCACCACCCACACACCACTGCCCACCGCCACGCCACTGCCCACATCACCACCCACACCACTGCCTCCACCCCCACACCACCCACCATCACCACCGACAGTTACCACCACTCCACCATCACCACCAGACAGTTACCACCACTCCAGCATCACCACCGACAGTTACCACCACCCAGCATCACCACCGACAGTTACCACCACTCCCCATCACCACCGACAGTTACCACCACTCCAGCATCACCACCGACAGTTACCACCACCCACCATCACCACCGACAGTTACCACCACCCACCATCACCGACAGTTACCACCCATCATCACCGACAGCACCACTCCAATAACGACAGTTACCACCACCCACCATCACCATCGACAGTTACCACCACTCCATCATCACCACCGACAGTTACCACCACTCCATCATCACCACCGACAGTTACCACCACCCATCATCACCACCGACAGTTCACCACTCCATCACCACCGATAGTTACCACCACCCCCATCACCACCGACAGTTACCACCACCCATCACCACCGACAGTTACCACCACTCCACCATCACCACCGACAGTTACCACCACTCCCATCACCACCGACAGTTACCACCACTCCACCATCACCACCGACAGTTACCACCACTCCAGCATCACCACCGACAGTTACCACCTTCCAGCATCACCAACGACAGTTACCACCACTCCCCATCACCACCGACAGTTACCACCACCCAGCATCACCACCGACGTTACCACCACCCACCATCACCACCGACAGTTACCACCACTCCACCATCACCGACAGTTACCACCACTCCATCATCACCACCGACAGTTACCACCACTCCACCATCACCACCGACAGTTACCACCACTCCACCATCACCATCGACAGTTACCACCACTCCATCATCACCACCGACAGTTACCACCACTCCATCATCACCACCGACAGTTACCACCACTCCATCACCACCGACAGTTACCACCACTCCCCCATCACCACCGATAGTTACCACCACCCCCATCACCACCGACAGTTACCACCACTCCATCACCACCGACAGTTACCACCACCCCATCACCACCGACAGTTACCACCACTCCCATCACCACCGACAGTTACCACCACTCCACCATCACCACCGACAGTTACCACCACCCATCATCACCACCGACAGTTACCACCACTCCCATCACCACCACCGACAGTTACCACCACTCCACCATCACCGACAGCTACCACCATCACCACCTCCATCACTGCGGGAGTCAGTGTCTCTGCTTCAGATTACAGATAAACTTCTCAAAACCTGTGTCTTTTTATACTGAACTTTGATAATGTAAAAATAATTGTCATTAATAGTACACACACACACACACACACACACACATATATATATATATATATATATATATATATATATATATATATATATATATATATATATATATATATATATATATATAAACATGTCTCCAGATAGCACATATATATTTGACCTCTGTTGGATGAAAAGTTGAAATTATATCCATATTAATATTTAAAACACTCAACAAAAACCATGCATTGATAATATAAAAAATGTATCAGTTGAATAAATTTTCCAAACTTAGCCCCTTATTATACCCAAACTTTTTGTCATGTACTTATAAAAAATATATGACATCAATGTGAAAGAGAAAAATATTGCAAAAAAGGTTTAAAATTTGAAATTATGCGTGCAACAACAAGAGCACCGAGCCTGCAGTCCACTGGCGCTGTTGTGTAGGACCTTGTTAAGTGAGGTGTTACAGCCTGGGCGTCCCCCTCCCCTGCGTACTTACCTGCATGCATGCGCTTCTGGTGAGAGCGGAGGTGTTGGCTGCAGAACTTCTTGCCGCAGTAGTCGCAGAGCGGGAAGACGCGGGCAGGGTTGCGGCTGCAGGAGTACGTCACGTGCATGTCCAGCGAGTGTAGCCGCAAGAAGAACTGCTCGTCGACACACACAAGCACACACACATATATTCGTACACACACACACATACACACACACACACATTTGAAAACAATTACAGACATTATGATGACACAAACACATAAACATTCATTTGAACACACACACACACACACACACACACACACGAGAGAGAAAAGGAGAGACCAACGTCAGGATAAGAGTGAGTGTCTGACACTGGAGGGCGGCAAGCTGGGGGGCCCCTAAGACTGTGAGTGAAGGTGGCAAACATATCTTGCGCGAGGAGTGAAGACAAGAGTCGAGGCGCCCCCAGCCGCCGTCACTCCCTGCCCAGACGCTCCGCTAGAGTGGTTCTCTGTGGCGTGCGTGACCAGGGCGGGGCACAGGCTCCAGGCTGCCCTCCCTGCCTGCTTTCACGACTCTCGTCCCTCTACCTCCAAGAATTTTATGGACTGAATTTGCTTGTCTTAATTTTTTTCTTGTAGTGTAAAATTTACCATAGTGTTATTATATTTCTGAGAAGTTTAATTATATTTTTTGAAATATTACAGCATTACAATTCAAGAATTCCTGTATGTTTTATAAATGATAAAAAACCATACACTGAGAGTCGGATAGAGACTTGTGGGCGTGTGTGGAGTCTCACTCGCCCTGGTCAGCAGCCCTTACCGTAGGTCGTCCTCTCTGGCCCTTGACGTAGGGCTCCCGGTACCCGGTCACCAGAGCCCTCCCCCCTCTCCCTTGATGATCCTCTTCACCCCACTTACAAGGGTGTGTGACCTCCCCACCTTCACCTCCTCCTGACACTCACCACTGTGCATTCGCTTGATGTGCACCTTCAGTTTCTGAGGCTGACAGAACTTTCGGCCGCAAAAGTCGCAGAGAGGCCGTGTGCGCTGGGGTTGCGGCGCAGCCGTAGGTGCGGTGCATGTCCAGGTAGTTGAGGCGGAGGAAGAACTGCAACGCCACACAAGCACCGTCTACAGCCGCCCATATCACCAGGGGAGCCAAGCGTGCCAGCTTATCAGGCTCGGCTGCTGGGGCGGCAGCGCTAGCACGCTGCCGCCTCCCGGCTGCCGCTCGCCGCCCGGGATCTGTGCTGCTGCCGCCCCTGCTGCGCCGCCTCCTTCCTCCCCGCCCACCACCTCACGCGCCTGCTCTGCTTTACTACAGCGTCGTGGGACCACCAGTGGCAGTGTAGAAACTGCACAAGAGTTATGCAGCATGGCAGGCACAAGATGGCGTGTTGTGTGTGGAGAAGAGGTGGACCACAGCGCAGAGCAGCACAGTTCCCCGCGGCTACAGTGTTCAGCCAGGAATATTGGACTCAACTTCACAGCTTATTAAGCCTTCAATTAGGGTGTTACGTATAGACTTAATTCTTGATCGCATGTCATCAGACTAAACTGACTTGAGTCCTGAATTGTGTTATGAGTCAATAGCCTACAGCAAGTGTTGAATCATAGATCTACTTTGGTAGTATGAATCGAAACTAATTATAATTGTGTTATGCAAAGTACACTTGAAAACAAAGGTTTAATAATAAAACCCGTACTTTAGAGCAATTAAGAATAACACCGAGCAAAAAAGATAGAAAAATAACAGATAAAATGCACGGGCCAATATAATGATAATTAGCACCAAAATGCAGATAGACAGGATAATGAAAGAAGTAAATTCGAATAATAATAATAATATAAAGGACAAAACTGATACACAAAATGTACCAGAAATAGTAAATATATGTATATAAACTCTGTATAAGAAAAGTTTAAATCGGGTGCATAGAATGAACGTATGACTGTGCGAAATGGAAAAAAGTCAAAAAATATTATGGAAAGGTGCATAACTGATTTAACGTGCAAAAAGATGAAATAACAAGGAAATAAGTATTAACAGGGGCTGTACTGGCTGGATTTACCGGTACGCATAGACGTGTTCAGCATCAGTCGTCGACTAGGATCTAACAGGCCTAGTTTCTATGCAACTTCCATATCTAGTAGTATGTACAGATTCCTTTGGTGTCTAGAACAGCTTCTTTAACTATAGATCTATCTACGCCTAAAATTTTGGAACAAGACCAAAGGACTATGTTGATGGTTTTTCTATTTCCTTCGTTATTCTAGATATGCCATTCTAGTTTCATCTAATCCCTTCTAGCAGCCGTTCTCTCTAAGCCTCTAGAAACTGTGAGCGCTACCACGAGGAATGACAGTGGACTTGCAAAGTGTCACGAGGGCAGGTGACGGCGCGTCATCCTGGGGCCTCCCGGCGTCAGGCCAAAGACTTCTCCCTGTGCTGGCGGCTCTCTGCCTTCGTAACTCGGGGCGTCAAACGCTAGCCAATCTGGGGTTGCAAGAGGCTATTGTGCGCCTTCACTACTTATGACACTATTAATGAAGGCTTGTGTTCACAGATTAAAATGAGGGCTTTGTGATTTGTACAAGCCATGAACACGATGACAGCCCAGCATCACCCCTCAGACAAGCCTGCGTTTATCTCCCACCTCAGCACCTGCCAGGGGCCTCCGATCATGCTCACCAGGACGCAGGTGAAAGAGCGGCCCTCAGTGAGCATGGGAGACAAACCTGGGCAGCCTGCTGGGGTTGACGAGCTCGCCCTGTGAGGTAGTGACTCCATCATGAGAGTCCGGGTGGTGTCCGGGTGTTCCCGCAGCTCCCTCGTCTGGGCCCGGGAGGACCGACTTAGTCTAGCGCAGCGTCTAAGCTAAAGCAACGACACCAACAACATTCATTTCTAACTGAACTTAGGAGCACGATGTTGGGGGCACAGCCGGATGCTACAGTCACTATACCAGTCCACGGTCCACAACCCAGGTCCTACAGTTCAAACCAGTTCGTAACTCATGTCATATTTTGGTGGTCTACAGTCGCAACCAAACTTAATCATTGATATAAGAACCAGTGTTTGTTCTACAGCCTGATCCTGCCGGTGCTGCCACTAAGATATGAAGGAGTCAGGCAGATTTAAGAAATATATATTTAAGCTTTCTTAACTGTTGTCTAAGTAGTACAAACAAAATCAACGTTTTCTATGGGGAGCTCAAAAATAATTAGTGGGACTATCAATTACTGTTTCATGAATCAGTTTTCATGATTTACATGTACTCTAAAGTTTGGTATTGGTGAGTCCATGAGGAATCCAATCTGTATAACAAGGTGAGGGAGTCAAATTTGATGGACAAATTGTGAAGGAATACTCATAGACACTGAGGTCAATTTACTGTGAACTAGTAACCGCTCACAACTGCCAATGGTTTGGAGTTCAGCTAATAAGTACTACGGTCGCCTTAGTTCTCTGTGTCAAAATTCTGTCATCGACACTGTTGGGAACAATCAGTGTGTAATGAACATCACACCCGTACCTACTGTACACTCACAGTACACTTCATCATGCTTTCTCACACACCACATAAGCGTCACCTCCACTCTCATCTCTGATCCAGTTCTTATAAAACACTTCATCAAGGTAAACTGTGAGATATAACCCTTACACACTGAACGTCAACCACCTCTCATCAGCCGACAAGTTTCAGGCTTCAACAACATTCTTATCCTGCAGTACATTCTCCATACTGTAATGTATTCGAACTAACGAAGCCTATCATCGCTCTTAACAACAACGCCTCTCATAATGTACCCTAAGTCTTTCTAGAAACTTGTCAATATAGTTTGTGTATGATTCCTATTGAATAATAATTTCACGTTTAAGGAGCACATCCCTCTCCTCTTAGCCATCTTTAAAAAAAAAATCCCGTCTAAACACTACAAACTTTATAAGTGATTCGGCTCTTACTTCTACGTTTTAAGTTAATGTACTTCCGTCGTTCAGTGTATCATTACTCGACTATTACTTTATAGATCAATGCTTGAAGTTATTATTAAGTAAATATCCTCGGCTCTAAATAAAGTTAACTCAGCACATCTTGTCATCAGTACTATGACGAAACGCCATTACGTGTTCCTTCTTGTCAACTTTCATTCATCAATACCTCACAAGTACTGTACACCACTAAAAAATTATTCGGCATTCGTGTCATATTGTATCACGCCGTAAGGGTGCCCAATAATTTTTAGTGGGTGTACCTCACATATCTCTCATGTCTCATTTATACAGTAATCTGCATCGCCTCAACTGTAGGATACACGAACATCTGCCAACATTTACAAATAAACGCTCTTCTCATTTAAAAGCTGTGTGTGTGTGTGTGTGTGGTGTGTGTGTGTGTGTGTGTGTGTGTGTGTGTGTGTGTTTATTTATGTGAATCTCGCCTTACAACTTTCTATTAAAAATAATTTGAGAATAGCTATACTGAACTGAACTCCATACTCACTCTCACACATCTCTCTCTCTCTCTCTCTCTCTCTCTCTCTCTCTCTCTCTCTAAAAAAAAATTAATCAAAGTCACATCCATCGTCCATAGTCGTTTCTCTAATTACTTGTAATTTCACTGTTGATACGTCATCAGGGCGGTGTTATAAGTGGTGTACTCGTATATGTCAACTATTATCTAGGATATGTTTTTTCTTCACAGTTATCACCTAACCTGTACGTGTTCACTAACTTCTGTACAGTACTACCATCGTAAATTATTTCTCTTTAATAATCTCTATAATCCACCACCTGTTATCTAAAAATACTGGCACTACATAATCAGGTAAATAATGTTAATACTAATTGAATATTTTGATCACGAAAACATTAAAATTCCATTAGAACCGAGCGGCAGTGTACACGATCGAGGCCGGTTTCTTTGATGTAGGTTGTTAAGTCCTTTATTAACTTATGATGAACAATATTGAAAATTTGACTGCAGCCAAGTTCCCTTGGGATTGTCCTGGACACTGCACTTATATTACTTATTGCCCTTAATACTACCCTTCACTACTTATTGCCTTGCTGAACACTGCCCTTCATTGCCTTATTGCCCTGAACACTGCACTTCACTATTTATTGCCCTGAACACTACACTAATTACAGTTCTCAACACTAC